ATCATCAGCTGAAGATCAGCACTGATACAGAGATGACATCAATAGCCATTCTTATAGATAGAGTAAAGCTCCATATTGACAGAACTTGTGAACATCTCAAGGTTTGCATAAAGATCTATAAAAATGCTCTCTATTCTTAGAATCCACCTTTACAATGAACTTTTTATAAGTATCAGCTTACTAAGCATCAGCAAATTACAATTTAGAAGCTAAAATTGTCAAAAGAATTCTAATGAAGATTCTGATGAGGAAAAAGTATGTGAGAAGATGGTATTAGATAGTGAGACCATCAGAATCTCAGAACCAGATGATTTTGTCATCATGAGTGATTCTGAGAAGGAAAAAGAAAAGAATGAGAAGAATAATAAAGAGCCAGTAGAAAAGATGGCTACATCCTCAGATGCCTTGAACTTGTAATACATATATATATCTCAAGTATGTTGTAGATAATGATATGTTGAGCCTACAGATATATACTATTTTTTGACTTATTAAATTTTGAATGATAAGAAAAAATTAATAATGCAAAATAGAAAATAGAGATTGGAACAGGAGTAAGCAGAGTCCAATTGATCCAGTCTCAATTAAAAAAGAAATCGGCAATAATTTTTTAGAATTTAATTTAAAATTCAAGAGTTGGAATCTGTTAAAAGCTGGTAGATTAGTTGAATGTCAATAAGATAGAGGTATGTATGAGTGGAGAATTGCAAATAGTGATTTAAAATATTGATCTTAGTTTGTCTAGATAATTAAAAGCTTTAATGTCTTCTTTTATAGAGAATTCTGTAGCAGGGATCCAAGTAAATTCTTCATTAGTATCTTTATTATTCAACTATTTGACTCAGTATAAGAGAGAACAGTGGAACCAATGGTCAAGTTTGAGTCAAGAATTTAAGCAATCTCATATTGTTCTTCACCATTGACTTCAATTGGAGATAAAGAAGGTTGGTATAATTGAGAATGGTATTAACTTCTATGAGTTCAAGTTGAAAGACATAGAATATGGAATAAACAGAGTAGAGGTTTATGAGAAGTTTAAGAGTGAAAGAATGTGATTCAGGCTAAGCAATGATCTTGAATGGTTCTAGAATTTTTTCAGTGAATTTTACAGTAAAATAAGTGGTTCTAATGTGTTTAAAACTGAGATAGACTTTGTCACCTACTTGGAATTCAGGAGCCAGAGACCTTTGCTTATCTGCTTGGAATTTGTAATGAGGCTGAGCTTGAGTGATTTTATCTCATAGAAATTAATAAAATCATTAAGGTTGACTATAAAATCATGAGCCTTCACAGAAGCAATATCATATTCAGAATACATAGTAATATTGAGATAATAACTTTGTTGGTGAAGAATAGAGAGATCCTGATGGAGATATTAGAAGCATTATTATAAGCAAACTCTGCAATAGAAAGTAAAATGTCCTAATTGTCTTGTTGGTAGAAACAGTAGATATCAATATACTGTTCTAGAGTTTGGTTAGAACATTCTGTTTGTCTATTAGCCTCTGAGTGGTAGTCAGAAGTGAAGTGGAGTTTCATATCAAGAGCTTTAGCATTTATTCATTTGATGAGAAAACACCTCTGATTTTAATATTAGCATCAACAATGATGTTTATCATCTTCACTAGATACTTATTATATATAATCACAGCAAATGTCTTTTCATAGCTAAAACTCATGGTGTATGGTTCAGCTTTCAGGTATATATCTAAGTCTTGCTTGTTCAGCCAGACAGAGTTCCTGTTGATAAAAAGCAACATCATGTTCAGCAGATGGCTGGCTCTCCTAAATTCTGAGAGTAGCAGGATCATCTGCAGGATGTTCTAACTGATATCTCCAGAAAGCCCACTGTCTAAAGCTCTAGAGTTGTCTGTCTTTGGTAAGATACCAGTTATTAAAGTTTTGAGAGTATAAGCTGGAGTGCTGAAAGATCTCTGATATGATATATATGATTGTCTGAAGAGAAAGGAGAATCAGAGGGAAAGAAGTTGCTGTTATAGTCCAAGATGATAGTCTGAGTGAGAGTCCAAGAATTCCACTTGTGGAAACAGCAGGACTTGAGAGTATCAGGACTGTAGCATCTTAGGCTTTGTCAGTGGTCAGAGAAAGAAAAAGTGGAAATAATATATGATATTTCTTAACTATACTCTCTTCTGAGAATGAGTCCTTTTTTGGTCTCAATATTTATAGTACCTTTACTCATAGCAACTTCAGTACTTGGATCCTGTGAAATATCTGTGAGGCTGGTCTCTTTGATCCAGCAGAGAACAGTGAAGACTGATCTAGAATTTTATTCTGAAACATAGTGTTTAGTTAATTGAATATATGGATAGAGAATAAGGTGTCAGGTCTGAGGTTGCTAAAACTGTTGCTAGCAATTATACTAGTAATGATATCAGTATATGCAGCAGTCATAGGTTTTCCAATGGTAATAGTAAAGGGTGTAAATAGTAACAGAGATGGCTATAAAGGTGACAATGAAAACAGTGATTGCAAAGTATAGAGCAGATTTTATATGATACTTCAGCATTATGCAATGACAGCTGAAGAAGAAGCAAGCTTCAGACTAATTGTTAGTGATCAACTAAACAAATAAAAACAAACTCAAGTAGCTGCTTCATATTCAGGCATCACATAGAGTAGTTCTGAGAGTTTGCACTAGGTCTCTAGATGACCAGTTCATGAGAAGAGAGTCAGAGTAAGTTCAACTGAATAAACTTTAGTCTGAAGCTGGAGCTTAAAGCCTGTATATGGCTGGCTTAAATACTGTAGTCCTACTGTTTTAAATAAAATATATAATATGGTAGTCATGAAGGTAGCATTCATTGTTTATGCACAAAACCAAAAAAGTTGATGTAAGAGCAGATGTAGGAGATACATTGTTAGAGTCACACAATAGAGGCATGAAAAAGGACAATAGAGGTGTGTTACCATAGTGGCTGTTGATAGAGTGTTGGAGATTCTGTGACAATATGACAATGAAAAGAGTTGATCATGACAGTTACTGTAGAATGAAGAAGAATAAATGTGTGAGTTCTGAAGAGTGGTGCTGATGAGTTCTCAAATTCATCTTAGTTCAGCTGGTACTTATCTTTGAATTAGGAGTTGCACTATGCTCAATATTGAGTGAACATACTTGAAATTAAAGAGAGAGAAATATATAAGGAAATCTAAGAACTAGCAGCCTTTTTCTAGTGATTTATATACATCTTTTGCCTAAAATACCTTATTTATAAATTTCTTACTATACTAAATTAGTTTCTACAGCAACTAATGACTGTAAATAAACACTCAACTTTAAGAAGTTTTATTTATATTTCAGTTAGAAACTCAGGCCAACACTAGTGTGAATCTTTGCAATTGAAATTTATGCTTTATTTTGAAATTTTTTTAATAGAATGTAATGAAGGTCTTTTATGAAATCACTCATATAGAATTCACTCAAAGAGAAGAATAAAAGCTTCTGTATGACCCATAGTGGAAGTTCATAAACTTGAAGAACATGCTTCTGCCCTGCTGAGACATGTTGAAACAATCACAGACAATTACAGCTCACTGATCTTTAGTTTTTGAGAAACCAACTCTTAGATAATGTATATCTATGAGAATGATAAGTATATGTGAATGTGAAGAAATAGAGAGATGCATACCTCAGTCTAGAGCTTATAGCACAATTGACTGAGATAGCTTTAGATATTTATAAGGTATTTATACTACTGCAACTGAGTGGTATTTGCCATCCTATAGACAATGTAATTTCTATAAATAATATAAGTCTTTTATCTTCAGTGTATCTGATATCTATTGTCTCAAGAACAATAGGATGCCAACACTCCTTCTCACTGAGGACTTCTTCTCAACTGCTACTCATGCAATCTCATATAGTCTCTCAGATGCACAAAGCTTGTAATATCCAGGGCTTTGGTAAAGCAATCGGCAATATTGTACTTGGTGTTAATATAGCTAAGTCTGATTTCTTTGTTTTCAACATGTTCATAAATAAAATAGTATTTGATATTGATGTGCTTGACTCTTGAATGGAGGAATGGATCTTCTGAGAGACTTATAGTGCTATTGTTGTCACAATTGATTATGATGGCCTGGTCATGTTCAAGTCCCAAATCTTTTAGCAGTGCCCAAATCCAGATGGCTTCTTTTGTAACCTCACATGCAGCTATGTATTCTGCTTCACATGAAGACAAAGCTACAGTCTGCTGTTGCTTAGTATTCCATGATACCAGTCCTGATCCAAGAGAGAAGCAGTAGTCTCCAATGCTTCATTGTATGTCAAGACAGTTAGCCCAGTCAGAGTCTGTATAACTAATCAAGTTAGTCAGATCTAGTTTATCTCTAAGGTGTAATTTTAGGTCTCTAGTGCCTTTCAGATATCTGACAACATGGATGGCAGCATTCCAGTGTATGAAGGTATAACAATCCAGAAATATCAACAGTTATTGGACTGCATAGAATATGTCAGGCCTGATTCCAACAGAAAGGTAAATGAGAGATCCAACAAGAGATCAGTATGGTGTCTTCTGGAGAATAGCTTGATCTTCATCCAATAGAGAGGATAAATCATGTCATCTAAGTTTGAGATCAGGTTCCATAGGTGTAGGAGCAGGGTGAGCATCAGTTTGGCCAAACTGTTAGATAATCTGGTCAATTAGAGCTGTTTGAGATAGTGCAACAGTCTTGTTGGTGTTATCCTGTTGAATTGCAATACTGATGTGAAATTTGGCTTCTCCTAGATCCAAGATGATCTATTTCTGACACATTTGCTTTTTGAAGAACTCATTCTCCTCTTTTGAGCTAGTAACAGAGAGGAAATCATCAACATGGACAGCAGCCATCACAATCCCAGTATCTGTCTTTCAATAGTAGATGCAATACTCACTATTCAACCATATAAACCCTCAGGAAAGCATAGCCTCATTCATTGTACAATTTCAAATATGACCACTCTGCTTCATACTGTAGAGTCTCCATTATAATTGCCAAACTCAGTCTTCTTTCACAATCTCTTCAAAGTCCTTCAGTTGCTCCATATATTGAACTTCATCATCAGGCAAAAGGCCATATAAGAAGACAGTTTTAACATTGATTTGCTGAGTGTCCTAATCAAAAGCAGCTGTGAGATGAAGCAAAATTCACCAAGATTCCATTCAGGCAGTCAGAGAGATAGTCTTTGTGTAGTCACAGCCAAAAATCTGTTTAAAGCCTTTGAAGATGATATGAACTTTTCATCATACAGTGTCACCACATTCATTTCTCTTGATCTTAAAAATGGGCCAGCTCTTCTGTATCTTGTGATCTTGGAGAATGGTGGAGCATAAAATCAGCTTATAAACTCCCATATTCTTCAAGGATTGAAGTTCATCACAATAGCCAGTGAGCCAGTGGTCAGCATCAGCAGACTGCTTTGCCTTCCCCCATATTGCAGGCTCATCCTCAAGGCCAACAACAGCCAAGACTTCATGCCCAATGTGAGCAAAGAGATCATCAATAGCAGGAAGAGCTTCAGGACCAAGCATATCAGTCAGAGATGTGTGAAGAGCTTTGTAAGCAGTGTTATTGACATTGGGAGAGGTGTTATCAGTATTAGAAAGACTGAGTACTGCAGCCAGAGAGGTAGCATGTAATTCAGTGAGCAGTCATCTCTATTCAGCTCACTGATCTCTGATGTGCTGTATGCTGTCTCTTACTTCAGACAATGTATGGTCAAGCCATGAAAATATTGATATCATCTTAGAGACAAGTCTCTCAGAGCAACAAGGAGCAGGTGTGATATCTCTTTCAGTGTCTGAAACAACAGAAGGTGCAGATTTATAGGCAGCATTGTCTGAAAGAACTTCTAGAATGAGTTGCAGTTGAGGAGAAATAAGCAGCAGATTGTCATCAAGGATAAAGAGGAAGAAAGCCTCAGTGATATCACTGATGGTGGATGGTAGAAGAATGGAGTTTTGGTCTGGCTGAGTGAATACAAGAGCTGCTGGCTCTTATAGAGACTGTGAAGTGAGTTGATGAGACTTGATGAATTGAACATAGTGAGAAGATATAACTTTGCAGGATGCTCTGTGATGACAACAATAGGTCTTTGAATTAGCATCATAGCCTATGAGGACATATTCCTCTGAGCATTGTAGTATCTTGAGGTTATGTTGATTCTGAATCAGCATAAAAGCTTTACAGCTGATTTCTTGCAGGTGAGTTACATCTGGTCACCTCCTATACCACTTTTCATATGATGTCATGCCATTTAGTGATTTGGTAGCTGTAAGATTATCAAGGTAAGCAGCTGTCAGGTAAAATTCATCCCAAAGGTTTTCTGGGTATGATGCATACAGTTGCATAGCATAAACCTTATTCATCAAAATACAATACCATCTCTCAACTTGTCCAATATAGGCTGATGTGTATGGAGCAGTGAATTGTTGCTGAATGCCATGGGACTTAAGCCAAGTAGTCATCTCATTAGATATGAGCTCACTATTGTCTATATAGTAGATTTCAACTCACAATCCTGTTTTGTTTTCTCTAGCCCATTCTTATGCTTGAAGTTCTGAGGAAGAATCATCTTTATTCTGCAAAGGTATTGATTATATATGGCTAAAATAGTCATCAATGATGTCTATAGCATACTGTGTATCTGTCCATGACACCACTGCCTAAGGGCCAATCAAATCTACTCAGACAATCTCAAGCCTTTGCTGTATCCTGTGGCTCTCCTGTTGTGTTTTTGGGATCAACATTTTGGTCTGTTTCCTCAGAATACAGGAGTCACACTTTAGCAGCAATTTGGAGAGATTAACAGGCATATCTCAGAGTGAGTCAGATTGAATCATTTTGACAATTATCTAATAGTTGACATGTCTGAGATGCCTATGCCAGGTTTTAAGGTCTGAGATGGTAGAGATAGTTATAAGTGCATATTCAGCTTGTAAGAAGGTGTTATAGATGAGACTGTATAGTTTTCTGTTTAGACTGAGTTTTCCACTCACAATGGTCTTGCCAGTGTCTTTAGATGTAAGCCAACAAATGTTGTTATCAAAGTGAGTGATTAGTTTGGAGTCTTGGATAAGGAAAGATATTGATATGAGTCATACAGACACTGATGGGATATATAGAATATTCTGTAGAGTCAAGAGAGTCTCATTTAAGTTTAAGATATGGATAGTGCCTACCCTGATAGTATAGATAGAGGAATTGCCAATATCTTTTACCACTTTGAGGAGTATCACAGTCAGAGTGAGAAAGTCACTTTGTTCAGGAGTCAGATGAGCTGTAGTACTAGTGTCAAGGAGATATGAAAAGTCTTTCAATGAGATAGATATCCTTTTTTGTTGATTTAATGGCATGGTCATAGCAGAAGCAACATCTATGTTCTGATGGTGGCTATCCCAGTCAACAGAGGTTAGCATTTCATTAATTATGACCATCCAGCTCTGGTATTCAGCATATTCAGTTGCTGGAAAGGCTATCAAGAAGTTTGGAGATGGCTTGCTCTAATGCCAGCATGGTGAATTCAGGCTTTGTAGAATCACTTGATGTGGAGAATGGTGTAAATGACCTATTGCTCATGTCAAAAACATAGGCTTTTCCAGCACTGTCCTTTAAAACTGATAAAATAGACTATTTTCCTTATGAATTCTTCTTTCCATCTCTATCTCATTTCTGTGCAGCATAAGACTCTTTCACAGTCTTGCCAGTCATTCCACCTCCTTCTGCAATGCAGTAGGAAATTGTGTGGCTCTTTAGCAATGAACATTTTGGGTTAATGCAGGTGGATTGACTATAGGGCTTTTGGATAACTGCAGCAAATGCTGTGTCCTTTGTACAGGCCTTGTTAGAGTCAAACAGTTGTTGTTCTATAGCAAGATCACATTTGATATCAGCTGATGTGACAGATGAAGCCTTAGTAGAGCAGTTGATGAGCTGCATAATAGCAGTCCAGACTGAAGCTATTTTGCCAGATAGAGCATTGAGCATTAAGATGCATAAGAAGAGATCCCATGTAGAATCACTCATATCCCATATCTTTGTATTCAGATGTTCAATATGCACTGTAGTAGTAGCTATGCATTCTGTACAAGTATAGTAGAAAGCCAGTGCCTCTTGAATGAGATTGATTTGTACAATAGATCTCTCTTGTTCATGTTATGTTTTCAGAGCTTTCCAAGCATCAGCTGTGGTAGTGAATCTGGACAGGAATAGTTTCTCAGACTCAGTAGAGTATTGAGATATGAATGCTAGGGCAGTGCAATCACTCTTTTTTCAGTTCCAGGTGGCATAGAGTTTCATCAATGGGTCAGAACAGATGGTGATACCAAAGAGATGTTCATCAATCTCTCCTGTGAGAGCAAGACAATTTAGAATGTTTTGACTCCATGAGTGCCAGTTATTCTCCTCCTTATCAAGCTTCACATTGTCTGAGCTAAAGGTGTTGGCTGAGATACTGATTAATAGGACCAATAGTCATTGGAAATCCATAGAGTGGATATCTGACAGAGACAGACCAACAGGAGAAGGAGTAAAAACAGGGACAGTGATGACAGTGGCAGTGGCAGTGTCTGGAGAAGACATAGTGTAAATGTAATGCAAGGATTTTATTGTTTATCTCTTTTAAGCTCTAATAGAGCAAAAAAAAACCATAACCTTTGAGAAACCAACTTCTAGATAATGTATGTCTCAGTCTGGAGCTTATAGCACAATTGACTATATTCTTATACCTAGATAATGTATATCTATGAGAATGATAAGTATATGTAAATGCAAAGAAATAGAGAGATGCATATCTCAGTCTGAGGCTTATAGCACAATTGACTGAGGTAGCTCTAAATATTTATGAGGTATTTATACTACTGTGACTGAGTGGTATTTGCCACCCTACAGACAGTGTAATTTCTATAAATAATATAAGTCTTTTGTCTTTGGTTTATCTGATATCCATTGTCTCAAAAACAATAGGATGCCAACATAGTTCTCAAACCTTCAGTGCTGAAGACCCAAGTGCAACATTGCATGTCACCACATCCATTGTAGAACATTGATTGACATTCATGTTCCCTCTCTTCCCTCCAATCAGGCCAAGATGCTATTCTATCTTTCAAAAAGGCATATTACTATCATTATCTGCAGTGAGGCTTATCTGGTTGGGACCTGCTGAACATCTGAGCAGACCATCATTCCATGCCACATGGTCAACATCCTGAGAGAACAGCCAGGTCATGCCTGCTCTGGCTGCTTGATATGTACTAAAATGTAGCCCACAGCACCAACACCATACCTGCAAAGTGGTAAGAACCTTGCTGTCCTGCAATATTGGCATTATGACTAATTTGATGGAACAGAATGTCTGTGGTGTATTTGACTTCCTGCTGCAGTGTGTCCTAGATACTCTACAAATATAGAGCCCATTGCACTGTCATCATGTAGGCTTTAAAAGAAGGGCATCATATTATGCCTGTCTTAGGCCACCTGAGGCTAGACAATGCAAGGAAAAACTGTCCATCTGACATTCTGACACAACTGTGCAGATGGCAGACACAGATGAAGCTCCTTCTGTCTATACTTGGTGCAGCTGCAACATGTTCTAGAAGTGTTCTGTGTCTCAGAAATGATCTGCTATATGCTTTTTGTAAGTCTAAGGTTTCTTTTAATGTCCTTGATGCTGAATATTGTTTCCTATTACTTCTAAGCCTTGATATTTTCTTGTTGATTAAGTTTACAGGCAGAACTTTGAGATCATTTTGAGCTGAGAGAGAGATTCTCAGACTCAATGGTACTTACTTTATTATACTCCAGCCACTCCACCATCAAGAACTTATGATTTGGGTTTACATAGCAAGCAGCATGATGGGTTTTGGGAACAAACAAACCATGCAATAAGTTAACCTTCCATGTAGAATAAACAGTACCTTCCCTTCCATTGCATTAACTTTCAAATTGTAAAGCTGAAGAGATGCAGTTCTATTGTTCAGAATAATGCTGTCAAAAGTTCATTTGCTTCAAGAAGCTCTGGATCCTCATTTTCTCCTCCCAACTTCAGCTAACGACTGGTGATGATAGGGCGTGGCCCTAGAATCTGATCCAGATCAAGAATTATTGAATTATCACGCACGTGGCAACGCGTTCATGGAGGGCACAGCCAAACAAGCCAGTCCCATCTCCAGCTCGGTCGTATGAGCGACTAAATTCAGCTTTCTCGCACCCACGACGATTGTCTGTGGGATCTTGCCCAAAATTATTCCAGCATTGCGATGACTTCTTCACCGTCATCCTCAGCTGTGACGATCCCCATCCCTGGAAAGTCAATCCTCAAACGTCCACCGCCAGCCCCACCGTCATTATTCTCACTGTCGAGGCTCAGCCGACTACTACCCGATTCTACGAAAGATAATGTCAGCGAGAAGACGGTCCTCAAGCGTGCTCATTTCATTCTGCCCGAACTGAGCATTGTCTACCCAATATCGAGTTTTAGCCCGCCAAGTGGACCCGGTGTTCGGGAGGAGAAGAAGGCAGTGGAGGAGCGGGAGAGAGAAAGAAGAAAACGGGTAATACGAGGTGAGGGGTGGACGATGGATAAGGTCGAGTCGTTCTGGCGAGAATGCTGTGCGGGCTGCGATGAGGATCCGGATCCGCTGATTAGCATTGCGTTTAAGGTGATTGTTTAAAATAATTGCTGATCCCTTCTAACCTATCTTTGTAGAAGGCAAATGGCTCACATCCTCGAATAGTGGACTTCTCTGGGGTACAGCTGACGACTGCCAAGGCGACAGTGCTGGGCGATGTGTTTACCATCGAGTGGGGCCTTCGAAGACTTGTTTTCAAGGAATGTGACTTGGATGAAAATGTGTGTAAAATTTCATTATCTTTACACATTGCTGAGTTTTTACAGATACTCAAACCGATGCTGCACGCGCTTCTCATACCGAACACTCTCACCTTTCTCTCTGTTGCCTCGAACCGACGACTCAAAACAACTGCTTTCCGTCTGATCGCTGCCTTTGCCGCCAAGTCAGCTTCGCTCGAATTTCTGGACCTCAGTCAGAATGCCCTCGACAAGAAGAGTGTGGAGTTGCTTGTTGCTGCGTTGACTGCACTTGTTACCCTTCGTCTAGATGATTGTTCCCTTCGTCCTGGGGCCCTTGAAACTCTCTCTCGGGCCGTACGGACTTCCAACCTCCGTAACATATCGCTGCGGTACAACAGGATAAATCCCACGGGGGCCGTGTCGCTTGCTCTGATGATCAGAGACTATCCTGACGTTGTGCCGGCGACCACGCCAAGCGCGACGTCCTCAATTCCCTCTACTCCTACTAATTCCGGCTCCCCGACTACCCAGACAATCCCGCTTAAAAATGGGTCGCTTCCACCGCCACCGAAGCACCCCACCACAAACGTCCAGACAACGTACACGCCATATGTCCCGCGCGCGAAGCGAGCGCAGACACCATCCGCGGTTCCTATGATCACCTCAAGTTCACAAGGAGGGGTGACTACGAACAATGTCAAGGAAGAATGGGGGCCTTCTGCGGCGCTTCTCGTCAAGGTTCGCGCGCTTGACACGCTGCCGAGGATTGGTGCTCTAAGGACATTGGATTTAAAGGGGAACGAGCTTCGTGGGGGAATAACGTACATCGCACAGGTCCTGAAACGGAACCGGACGCTCAAAGTACTCAACTTGAGTGAGAACAAACTCGATGTAGCGGGGCTGGTGGCTGTAGCGGAGGCACTCAAGTATAATTCGTCGCTGGAAACGCTAGATCTATCGAAGAATCCGTGTGCTGGACCTGCACTAGATGGGGTAAGTTTCATCCTTATTCGTGAACACGCTTCTTATTCTCGTGGCAGATAACTTCGCTTCGCACGGCATTCACACTCAACGCTTCTCTAAAGCGACTCTTCCTTTCTTCTACTGGTCTGACTTCTCCCGGAGCTATCGCACTGGCAGAGTTCCTTCCAGAGTCGCGCTCGTTATTGCACTTGGATCTGACGAGGAACGAGTTGGACCTAGCTGGGGTGTGGGCACTAAATAAGGTTAGCATTTCCTTATAATATAATGGTATCTTCCTTTTTGGAGTACTTTTTGTAATACCTATTGAGATTAACAATCTCTTCCTTTCTCTTGCAGGGCTTGAAATCTAACCACACGATGCGATGCTTAGACCTTGATGTCCCTCCCGGAAGGGAGGAATTCGCGGGTTGCTGCCGAGAGATTCTTGGTTGGTGTGTACGCAATACGGAGGAGGCAGATGCTAGGCGAGGAGAAGGTGATTCTAACCTTCCTCACTAAAGATTTTCTTCTATATTGACGATTCGATTAGTTGCAGACCGAGAAAATGGCGCCGCTGAAGGTGTCAATGGGAGAAACAAAGGTCTATGGGGTCTGATCGAGGACAGCGAGTTGGCAAGGGGTATTAGGGAAGGAGAGGAGAGAAAGGTAAGAGGTAAATGTACCCATTTTTACAGTTCTAACTAATTGTCACCCAGATTGAGACGGACGTCGTAGTACGGGCGCGCTCATGTGTCGCACAGCTCCAGAACCTGCTTAATCCTGCAGAACCATCACCGCTGAGCACACCACATCTAACCTCACCCTCTCTATCGGCCACGTTCCTACTCCCATCGTACCTGCTCTCTCCAAGCACAGCATCGTTTACTCTCTCCTCCCGACAGTCTTCCACCAAGCCTTCGGCCTCAGAGATCGCCGCTCGTGCCAGGGCCTTGATAAGCGAGTTATCGCAGGTGATAGAGGAGGAAGGGGATGAGGGAAGGATGGAAGAGCTGCTGGGTATCCATGACCAATTGACTAGTTTACTCGCTAAAGTGCCCAGTAAACCTATTGGGCTTGGGCTGGTGATACCTACGACTAACGGCGTCGGGTCTGTGGCCGTGGATACCTCACCTGATGGTGATCCACCCACGGAGGAGCACACGGATGAGGAAGAAGTGGAGGAGGAAATTGGTACACCCCGGGTGGACAAGGGTAAGGGACGTGCGGAGCCTGTCCATGAAAAAGTGTTGAGTCCGACCGCTGCGTTTCTCATTGCGGAGGACGATGGGGAAGATGGGGAAGGGCCAAGGTTTCCTCCTGTTGAAGTGAGAGACGAAGAGGACAGCGAGGGTGAGAAGGGGAAGGGAACAAATCGGTAATTGGATGTCCTACCTTACTTCTTTCGTTCGCGCTGACGTTGGTGGGCAGATCTCGAATCTGGGTTGAGGAGGAGGGGGAGGTATTTCGCAAGGGGACAGTTCTTTTAGGACCCGAAGAGATGGAAGGAGAGTATGCTGGAGAGGAGCTACGTAAGGAGGTAGGCATCTACCATCATCTGTTTTTTTCTTGTCTTTCGCTCATCGTACATTTTAAGCTCCTTGAAGCGATGGTCGAACGACCGCCTCCCCGGAGCGTGGAAGAATTATCGCTTGAGATACCACATCCAAGCTCAAACTCCCACTCGAATCCGGGGACGCCGACGGAGGAACAACCTACATCACCCACGACAGCAGCACCAAGATCATATATACCTAGAAGGACGAGCTCGGGAAGTCTGATGAGTCTTGTCAGTCCCACCAGTCCAAGGCTAGCGAATCCTGTGATGGTGGTAGGGATGGGGGCTGCGAAGAATGGGCTGACGACGCCCACGATATCGGAACTCGAGGGCGGGCAACTTGGGCCGAGTATCTCAAGGCGAGACCGTTAGGCGGAGATGATTATACTTATTTTCTCAGTTTCAGGGATTCCACATACCATCATTTTCATTTGGATGATTTTTTACATAGCTTACCTGCTTGGCCTTTACTCTTAGATCTGCTGGTTCATGCGCGAGCTTTGCATCGTTCAACATCTCATTTGTTTGCATCTAATATTTATCGTTTATTGTAGGTATAGGTAATAGGCGGGCGTGAACAGGGTCGAGAACCGGCACGGGTTTTGATTGCATGATGCCATATGAGTTAATACTAACATGGTGGAGAATAGGTTGTAAGAAAGCATCTCTCTCAGGATTATGCCACGTGAGCATCTCGTTGCTTGACTTTTGAACCATCAATGCACGTCAAACATAAATATGGTTTGTGGTGGACCATGACCAATTTGCTGAAGCCAGCACAAGTGGTTGACATTATCGAATACCGTCGTACGAACATGACTACGGACGCTCGAGAAGAATCTCAAGTACCTGTGATTGGTGAGATCCGCTTGAAACACTGTTACGAACAAGACACACTGAATTCTGCAGGAAAGAGATATCGCTCTATCTATTCTGCGGATAGAACGGTGTCCCTGGTTTGTCCGGTTTACGCCAAGAAAACAGGGCTAGCATTGTTGCCGACGCCAGACTGGAGGACATGAAAGTGACTTGCAATATGTCATGTCCTCACAGCAACAGAGGACTCTCCTACTGTATGGACAAAAAATCACTAGAGTCGACGTTCCGTTCCTTATGCTGGTGGGTGATTTATCTTGACTCCAGGATGCCGCCCTTGATATTAACGCTCGTTTATGGGTTGTCTCTGGAAGTGTGTGAGTACATCCCTGTTCATAATAGACATTGGTATATTTATCTCTTTTGATCTGCAGATACTGGTTCCTCTGACCAGTGGGTTATTTCAAATACCTGCACATCCGGAAGTTGTGTGACGGATGTCTCGCTATACCCTCAAACGAGCTTTTCATCGACAGGTCTTGAAGCCCAGCTGTTTTATGGCGATTCACGGACAGGAACCTATGCCTTTGGCCCTATAGGACAAGATACAGTCTCATTGGCAGTATTGCATCTCGGAGGCCAATATTTTGCCTCAATAAACATTACAAATACGAGTGTACTCGATACAGGCGCAGCATGTATTTTCGGCCTTCGTTTCCCCTTCAACAGGCATCTTCTTCTCCGTCCTATGTTTCTTTCGTTCCTAACTGTTTCTATACTGTTTCATCTGGTCAGACGTGTTCTTCGACGAGCACACATCGCCTTTCCAGCATCGAGGCGTACTACCTGCTAGAAATCGCCAACGATGCCAAGGAAACTTTAGAACGCGCTCTCTTCCAGGCCTCAACGCCATGCTTCCTGCGTTTTCTGCCCTCACGAGCCATATTGGGCCTCAGCGTCAGCAATTGGATCATTCTAATTCGTCCACTGCCAATTAGACATCTACCATCACTGGTTCGTACACGTACATGGGCCCATTCATTGCTCGGCTCGTAGCTATGGGAGACTTGAGTGCCCCGATGTTCACTGTGACCTTACAATGGAACACAATATCTCGAGGAGGTAATGTTGGACGGTTAAGCATCGGAGAGCTTCCCGCTGGTATCAAGAACGAGATTACATGGGTTCCCATTCACTCATATTCCAGCAAAGATGGTAGTCTGGCCGGGCCAACAGGTGCTCCGAATGAGGTATGTCGAACCCAGACTTAGCTTCTTCCATGATCGCCACCCACACACCCATGCCTAGAAATACCCCATTACCTGGGAACTCTTCATTGATGCTGTATACCTTGACGCACTTGAATTGAATAATTCCTCTGTTGCTTCTTCGGATATTACGGTCTCTGGTCTTGTTGACACCGTAAGTGTATTGGGACGTCATCCACGTTTCCCTTGGCTTAAGCATGCTCAAGGGGAACTCCCTGATACGCGGCCTTTCGGATGTCATAGATGCAATCTACTCCCAGCTGGGCAGGACAGAGTTCTCTTGCTCCACTCCCCACACGCTCGCATTCCAGATCGGAGGAAAGATGTTCCCTATTGATCCGCGAGACTATTGTTCAAGCACATCCTAATAACGTGGATATCCGTAACGCGAACATTGCCTTCACTGACACGCCCGTTCTCGGTGAAAGCTATCCCTACAGCTGATGTCTTGGAGATCCATTTTTGAAAAGGTTTGTCTTCCGCCAGCGTTGGGTATTGCCAGTTTGATGTACACACCGGCTGTAGTGCCTTGTCCTCGTTTCATTACGGCAAGCTACCCTACCCCTCTGTGGACTCCCCCCGGATACGACTACTCTCCACGGTACCGAGCGACGCTTCGGACAAACTTGTCGAGGCTGTAAATGCGGCTTCTGCCGGCGGTGATGTATATGATGCGATAATCCAGACATTGACTTCCCATCAGTGGCAGCAGGATTGATTTTGTTTACAGGAACAGCTGAATCAGCTCCCACTGGCCTTCCTGTCGCAGCTTCAACCAATTCTGTTGGAAACCCTGGGTGTTGCGCAGGGTAGACTCCAGGCTGGTAAGGCCAGAAAGAATGAACTCCTTATTCTACAGCTCCTACAGAGCTTGTATTTATACTCTCCAAGCTTATATCTAGAATTTACTACAACTTTCTCTTTCTTCGAGCTTACTCATCAACTCTCGGCATGATGCCGGATTGCCCTTTCTAGAACTTTCCAGCAAAATCCCAACAAATTCGCTTGGAGTTCCGCAGGTAAAAGCAACACAAACTTCGACGCCTTCAAATGGTGATGTGTTTCCGTCGAACCGTATACAACGATGGCTAGAACTACTGTTCACAGCTGGTTCAGTCTTGTTGCGATCCTAGATCATGAAAGACGGTAAAAACCCGCAGCTGTGATTCATAACCTTTCAGCATATCACTGAAATATGTTCTGATTCACATAATGAAAAATACAAGTTGTACTATTTGTATTCCGTATACTGATTCAATGTCCAAAACACAATAGCGGTGTCTAGATAGTAGCAAACATATACACTTAACTCCGGTATCCTCTGGAGACTGTCAACCACCCATGCCTTTTAACTTGTTCAAAGTACACAGCTCTTTTGATCATCAATTCCTCTTTCCAGAACGGCCACTCGGATTTCCCTCCTTCTGTCTGCAACTGTTCCGGGGGTACATTGAACACTAGGTCAACCTTGCTCAATTCCATCTTCGATAGAATTCTATCGAGCTCTGCCCACTTGTCCGGACTCCCAGATGTGCCAATCAGGTAGGACTCGAATTCGAGCTCCTTTAAGCACCCGCCTTGGGCTTTGTGTAGCAGGTGTACAAGCCAATCTGTTAGCTCATCGCATGCTTTGCATGTATCCGCCGGATACCACCGCCAGGGGGAGGTCGCAAGCAAACGAAGCCTGGTAACGTTTTGGATATCCGGAACGGGTATGCTTCGTTCGGAGGCTCCCACTAGAAACAACTCATCCAGGTGCGTATAAGGAATAATGTCGTATTGTAGGATGTTCTGCTCCGGATAGTAAAGTGGGTAAGTAAGCCGTCGAATACGAGGTGGCATAGGGAGGAGCGGGAGGAGGCACTTGATGGTGTTCATGTCTGAGTGCGTCCTGCCATGGGTAATCACTAATTCTTCAAGGTCGAGAGAAACTTCAGAGGATGAGGATGTCTCTTCAGCAATTTTTACGTTGGATAGCGTTAGCTTCTTTAATTTGTGGAACCCGCCGAGAAAGGTGCCAAGATTCGTCACAGAACAGTCATTCATTTCCAATTCCTCAACTTCAGGCCAGATGATATTAATGCCGACTAGTTCCACCGAGACAAAATGCAAGGACGTCAAGTTCTTCATCATTCTAAAGACAATAGGCAGCTGCGGTTCATAGGCGACCCATCTATGAGAGGGGCCTATGAACCGGAAAGCACTTTCGCTCAAGGTAAGACTCATTACAAGTCGTGCCGCATTTTGGCACTTTTCCGAGAAAATTGCGCAGCGATTGAATGACATAGGTGGGATGAAATTGAAGTGTATGGCGCGGAATAGGTGATAGCGGCTGCGGTGGACGAATTGACGAGAGGACAATGCGCAAGTTCTGAGAGAGTGGACGTCATTGGAAAGAGCATCAACTATTTGATCCATGAGTTCTGGCGGTAATCTAGATGTCGAAACTGCAGGTTGTAGGGTAGGTTGTGAGGTACTTGTGGTGGTCATGGACAAAGTTCAGGACAGGAACTTTGAGGCCCCTCTCCTTATAAGCACCGTCACCGAGACTTTTATTTCCTAATTTACTTATGAGACAAAAGTTTCATGTGATAAAGTGTGCTCCAGACATCTGAGTTTGATCAAAATACACAAGATTCATGTCTACTCTGGTATACATCACTAATATTAGTAGCACGCTTCACATCTTCTATCGAACCTCACAAAGAAAGGCCATTTTATCTGTCTCATGGCCATGTTTGCTTCATGTTGTAAGTAGAGAGCAGAGTAATGTAATAGAGAACTTGAATTGGCCTCTCAAGAGAGAAACGTTCTACTTAAATACATTTCGTATTACTTCAAGATCTTTCTACGAGATACTAAATAAGTCCGGATCATGATCCAAGTCAGCTGCCGCTGACTGGCATCATATCTTCAAGTACGTTCTTGTACTCGCTCGGGATTGCTATCCCAACACTCCCTCTCAATTCCGAGTTCCTAAAATACCTGTGGATAGATACTCATGTAATGGTCTTGGTAGGCCTTTAGTGAATATATCCGCTAAGTTTTCTTCTGATGTGCAGTGCTGAACTTTGACTTCATTTGAAGCCATGCACTCATGAATGAAGTGGTGCCATATGTCTATATGCTTCGATCATGCATAGAATATAGGGTTCTCGGCAAATTTGATTGCTGATTGGTTGTCGACAAAAATAGTCATTGCTTCATAAGGTGGCAATCCTAATTCAGTTAAGAGTGCTCGTAGCCAAATTACTTCCTGGGTTGTGTGTGCAAGGGCCATATATTCTGCTTCCATAGTGGATAAGGCTACGATAGGCTGTTTCTTTGAACTCCAAGTAACAGCTCCCCCTGCATAGATACAGACATAACCAGATGTTGATCTTCTATCTGTTCTGTCTTCTCCCCAGTCTGAGTCTGAATAAGGTATCAGCTCATCCATAGTCCCTCCATATGTGATTCTGAAGTCTAGAGTTCCCTTCAGATAGTGGAAAACTCGCTTCAAGGCTGTGACATGCTCAGCAGCCGGATTCTGCACATACTTGCTTAATTCGGTGACAGCATGTGCAATGTCGGGCCAGGATCCATTGGCTGCATACATTAGTGATCCGACACCAGTATGGTAATATTGCCTGGTGGCTGTGTCAACACCTTGTGGGTCTTCTGTCAGAATTTTCTCTAGCCATACATTCAGATCCATAGGCATTTTGACCAGTTTGCAGTCATTCATGCCCATTCGCTCGAGTACCTTGAGAATATATGCCTTCTGGGATAGAGTGATAGTACTCTTGTCCCTATTTCTGTCTATCTTCATGCCCAATATATATTGAATCTCCCCTATGTCTGTGACATTTAGCTTCTTCTTAAGCTCTTCTTTCATTTTAGACATGGTTTCATCATCTGAGGCAAGCAATGTCATGTCATCGACATGTACAGCTACAATTATGGAACCAGAACCCATTTGTCTGATATACACACATTGATCACTGATCAATCTGGTGTATCCAAGTCCCAAAAATATAGCATTTAATTTGTCATTCTAAACTCGGCCAGATTGCTTGAGTCCATACAATGTTAATTTGAGGTGTGCTGCTTTTCTGCTCTCATCTGAATATTCAGGTGGCTGTGCCATATAAATGGATTCATTGAGTTTACCATTTAAGTAAGCTCCAACAATGTCCATTCCATGAATGATTAGGTTTCTTTGAGTGGCAATTGCTATAAGTAGATGGAATGTGTCCAGCCTGACAACTGGTGCATATGTCTCGAAGAAATCAATGCTGGATATCTGTGAAAATCCTTTTGCAACAAGTCTGGCCTTGTACCTGGTGATTTTCCCATCACCATCCCTTTTCAATCTGTAAGTCCACTTGCAATCCACAAGTGATCTGTCTTTGGGTAATTCTTCCAGCTGCCATATGCCTAGAGAAGTTAATAGATTGTATTCTTCATCTATTGCTTTCTTCCAGTGATGCCAGTCTGGCCTTGTCTTGGCTTCTTCAAGGCTTAATGGCTCATCACTGAGGTTATCTGCAGTTTCTCCAATGTATGCATAGTCTATTGCAACATTTACGGCTTCCAAAGATGGTTTTTCTGAGGTATGCTGTTGTTTCGATGTTTTCACAGCTTGTACGCTTGGATTATGAAGTGTCCGGTAACTCGGTTGAGTCTTTGATGCAATCCAGACCGATTTGTCATGTGGCTCAATCACTTTCCCACACTATATTGAGAAATTTGATTTGATCGATGACACATCAGGGGCTATTTCCCCTTTTGGTTCGGCATTTCTGGCATCCACGGAATTGTCTGAAATACCATCATTTCTATCTGAAGTCTGCTCAACTTTGCTCTCTGACTCTCTCTCAAGCAACAAAGGGTGGGAGACTATATAGTCAGTGTCTATAGGCTCTGTAGTGTTGTTTTCAGGGAATATAACATTTCTTGAGATCTGAATCTGCCTGATTTGAGGGTTATAATATCTCCAGGCTCTGGATTCATCTGTAAGACCTGTAAAAATAAATTCCCTTGACTTTGAGTTCAGTTTTGACCTCTTGTTATCTTGCTGCAACACCCAGCACTTTACTCCAAATTTCTGAAGTGCCAAAATATCTGATTTTGTGCCCTGAAACACTTCTTCTGGAGTTAGATCATTCTTGATGGCCCTGGTTGGTGATCAGTTCTTCAAATATGTGGCATATGCCACTGTCTTGGGCCATAGAAACTTCAGTAAGTGATGTTCTTCTAGCATAGCATGTGCATGCTCCACAAGAGTCCGATTTATTCTCTCAGCAACTCTATTTTGAGATGGGAAGTATGCTGCAGTCAATTCCAACTGTATGCTATTGTCCTGGAGGTATTCCTTTACCTCTTCATTGACATATTCCTTTCCATTGTCAATCCTCATAAACTTCAGATCCTTCTCTTTGTGGACTTTGATGTATTTTTGATACTGCTGGATCTTCTTTCGAATTTCCATATCTTGCTTTGACTTCAAAAAATACAACATTGTCCTTTGGGATTTTCTATCTGTGAAGCTTATGTAATACCTTTCACCATGGATACTCTGAGTTCAGGCTGGCCCCCATAGATCCGAAAATATCATTTTCTCTATTTCAGTATAGTCTCTTTCGGCTTCCTGTGGAAATGGCTTAATATGATGTTTGGCTTTTATGCAAGCTATACAATCTGTCTGAGGCTCGGCTGACTCATCTATATCCATCCCCTTGACCATTTTCTTTCTAAATAGTCTCTTTACTGATCCCATATTTAAGTGGCCTAATGTTTTGTGCCACTTTTGCCATGATCAGGCTGATTTCATAGCATGGGCCTGGGTTATTTCTGAAACAATGATGTCAAGGCTGTACAGCTTTGATATTTTATCTCCATGGCTGATTATCTTGCTATATGGTGAGATAATATCCATTCTGGACTCTTTGAATCTGAGTTCAAATCCAGCATCTGTAATGTGCCCTATCGACATAAGATTGAATGGTGCATCAGAACAGTGGATATACTCCTTTAGTGTGACTGGAGTGATCTTTTCCCCTTCAACCATTTTAATTTTGACAGTTCCCCTTCCCAAGCCTTTGGATTTGCCTACATCAATGACTTCATGTCTTGGGGTTTCAATATAGTCAGAAAAATATAATCTATTTTTGACTATATGTCTGGTAGTGCCAGAGTCCCCTAGCCATGATACTCCTGAGAGTGAGGTAAGTGTGACATCTGTTGCACAAAATACATAATCATCTTCTTCTGAGTCCGATTTAGCAACATGTGCCTGAGTCTGGCCCTTTCCCTTTTCTTTCCATGACTTTCCAGAATTCTTCTTCCTATTTGGGCAATTTGTTCTGATGTGACCAGTTTTTCCACATTCATAACATGTGACTTTTGAATTGGACTTCTTGCCATGTGCTGCAAGTGTCATAGTCCGATCAAAAGTCTTTTTCTTTAGTCAGATGTCCTCCTGAAGAATTCAGGAAATCAACTTGTAAGAATCTTTCAAGTCAGCAGTATCCACTGATGAGATGAATGAATTCCATGATTCCAGGAGTGATGTAAGCAGTGTGATAGAGAAGTCCTCCTCCTCGACTTTCTGCTTAAGGGATGCCAGCTCCTCCTGATAGGATCTCAAAGTCCTAATATGCTCCTCTATGTTTCCTCCTTCTTCACACTGAGCTCTGAAGAATTTCCTTCTAACAAGGACAATTCCCATGGGTCCCTTAGACTCATACATATCTTCCAGAGCTTTCCAGGCTTCTGCCGAAGTCTTTGAACCAGCAATATATACCAGTGGGCCATCAGAAACCTGCAATCTTATTGTTGAAAGAGCCTTCCTATCGCTCTTCTTCTAATCTGCCACCAGTGTCATGTCTGCTGGAGCCAGAATGCTTCCATCTGCATAATCAATTAGTCCTAAATCGGTTAGGATATTAATCATCTTGATTTTCCATGTCGGATAATTTTCTGGGCCCTTAAGGGGGTCAATTCTATACATGGACTGGCTATTCATGCAGTTCTACATGTGTATGTAAAGTATGAAAGTGTGCGAAGTGAGTAGCAACATAAGTTCAGTTATGGCCAGAGCCCATAACCTGTTGTTAGTAGAGAGCAGAGTAATGTAACAGAGAACTTGAATTGGCCTCTCGAAAGAGAAACATTCTACTTAAATACATTTTATATTACTTCGAGATCTTTCTATGAGATACTAAATAAGTCCAGATCATGATCCAAGTCAGCTGCCACTGACTGGCATCATATCTTTGAGTATGTTCTTGTACTCACTCAGGATTGCTATCTCAACACTTCATCTGGTGGCAAGTGTGAATCTTTTGGAAAACTTCTCTGATGATTTGTCATTCCCATCAAACCAAATGAACAGCTTCTCTCTGAATCAGATATACATGCATTGAAGATGGACCCAGCTTGGCATCATCTTAGGCAGTGGATGATTGCTTTGGTCATTTACATGGAGCAATCTGTGAGGCTTTACA